CCCTACATTTCTGTGATCCTGTATTAGACATAGACATATATATATACTTGCACTGGTTTTTGTTTCACCTATTTGTATTATATAATCCATTTGTTTTTATATATATATATATATATATATATATATACACACATACACCCCCTACACACGTGTGTGTTTGATACATATACATGCAAGTGCACACATTATACATAAGTGTGTATGGATTTTCAAATTAAAGGTCTGTGGTTGAACAATATATTATAGCTATGCATGCCTACATATAGACTTTTACTTGTTTATTTGTTTTATCTATATTTCATAGATGAAACGAATAAATAAGTGAAACTATATGTGCATATGTATGTCTCTGATATATGAACTGTTAAAGCAGACCTTTAATTTGAAAATCTGTTTTATCAAAATGTGTGTTATGACCTTTCATATGACTCATTGCCCAATATTTTTTTTAAATCTTCAATTTTAAATAATTTAAATACATAGAAGTCCTATATATAAAATTATAGGATCCTGCCATTTTTGTTGTAACATTATACTGCACTAGCATATAGAAAATTAAACATTCCAGTTCTTCAAAAAAATTCTAATTCAAATGTTTTGTTATCCTGAAATACTTTAGAAAAATGGGGTTACACCAAAACCTATATTTAAATAGCTTTTAGGTCTGCCTCACATCTTATGTTAATAATATTACAATTATTGTTGGCTTATTCATTGAAAAAAATTGTATTCATATTTCACTTAGGTCTTCTTGAAATTCAAAAAGTCTTCCTATCAGATAAGGAACCAGTTAATAAATTGCAGAACACAAATATTAAGTAACAGTCACTGGCATAGGAAAAACATGTTGTATAAGGAAAAAAATATGAATTAATTATAACCCGGAGTTACAGCATGAGTGACTGTTTTGAACTATGTAGACCTAACAAACCTAACCTTTCATAAAGCAAAATGTTGGTGGCTTTAAAACAGTCTTTATTGCTTTTCTCTAAATGTGTTTTTTTTTTCTATAAATCCCTTTCTTAATTGATCACTTTGTTTCTCTCTACCTCCTGTGACAGTCTTTTCCCTGTAAAAGGACCAATCTGTTTAAGGTAGAGAAACTCAATTTCTATATTGATTGCCTTGTCTGCATGTAGTTAACTAGCAGGGTCTTTGCTAATCAGTTATCTGTCTTGTTTAACTTTACTATTTAAGTAGTTTCTTCCAAGAAATTCATTTACTTCTTTCAGCTTCTGTGCAAGTGCCAAGCAGCACAAAATCTAATTTGTAACCTTATTTAAGGAAACTTTTTCAGTTATTGTAGCACATAGTAAATTTTTGTAAAACTTGTCAAAATTATTGTTAATTTTGAAATGCACCTATTTTTATAATTTGCCATGTTCAGTTTCTGTAAAAATTTTCAGTGAATAATACTCATTTTCCAAACTCTTTTCATTTTCACTAGACTAGAATTTGAGAGACAGCAACGAGAAGAGCTAGAAAAATTAGAATGTAAAAGGTAATTTATCCCCACCGGGTTTGTGCGTGTGTGTGAAAGAATAAACCGATTTAAAATCAGTGTGAAAAAAATAATTGATTTTGAATCATGATTTAAATCAGTGAGCAAGAAATATTAATTTTAACACATTGATATTCATTTTCTTTTGAATGAGCATGCTTTAGTTCTTTTCCTAAACAGTATGATTTTCATAAAATATTAGCTATTAAGATGATGAATTTAATGTAAATATAAACCTTACATTAAATACAGTGCTGCTTTTTGCTCACTAATATGATAGTGTGTGTGTGTGCGCGTGCATGTGTATGTGTGTATAAAAGGCATTATAACATTTGTCCTACATTTAGTTACATTCTTAGTTTTTATATATTATGTTAGAAAATTACATTTTTATTTGCTAAATGATTTTTTAAAACTTGTGTTAAGTTGCTTTTTTGATAAAATGTGAAATAAAGCAAAATGCAAAGTTTTAAAAGAATTAAACTATGAACAAACATGCTAATCTTGCTTGGATACAAAATTTTTAAAACTTTATCAAACTTTTTTGCATGTTACATGTAAGTATAACTGGTTTATTGTAGAATCATTGGTACATTGAACTGACAGTTTTTAAATCAAGGTGGTTCAAGATTTTTAAAATGAGTGGACCTCATCCTTTTGCACCTAGTTGTTTATTCACAGATTGTAAAAGGAAAACAAGCTTTCCTTTTGTTTGCACTTCCTAGTTGCTTTCTCAGTTTGGAATGAATGCTTGCTAAAATTAACTAAACGAAACATAAAATGTTGAAAAGAACAAAGCACCTGTAGAAGAGAGACAAGTATGTGAAGTAGAAGTGCACTGATATGTTGGTAGCCTATCGGATCAGCACCAATAAAAGGAAAATTAATGTGATCGGCCTTTGGCTTTTTTTGGCTGGCGTAGCCAATAATGTCACCAATGAATGCCATGTGCATGCATGCAGGCACAGCATGCACATGGCTAGGAATGCAGCCTGACAACTTGAAGAACAGTGCCTTGCTAGTAAGTCTGTAGTGGGGAAGGAGTTGTGGGGGGCAGATCGAGGCCCCCACGGTGAAGGACCAAGTAGTGCTGGGGCTGGTGCAGGTGCTGCCCAGCCACGGTGGTGAATGCAGCTCTGGGGCTGGGAGCAGGATTTAGCTTCAGACAATTCATCCAAGGTGTGCAGGCCATGTGGAGTGGGGGGACAGCTCCCTACCACTGCATACATCCCCAGGGGAGGCATGGGGGCCATGTGCCCTGCCCACCCCTCCCAAGGGAAAGGCCACAGAGTGTGGTGCCCCAAGCAGGGGTGGCACTAGAGGGCTTGGGGGGTACAGCTGAGCCCACCCCACCCCCACCCACTCGGAGTGCAGCCCCAGCCCAGCTCCCCACCAGGAAGAGGCTGGTGTAGCCCCTGGCCCCAAGGCCACAGTGGGCAGCCTGCCCTGGCCCCATGCACATATCTGGGGGTTACATGCCCCCCACACCTCCCCTGGGGGTGTGTGCAGTGGTGAAGAGCTGCCCCCCACTCCCCACCCCACCACGCCTCCTGGATAACCGCATGCAGCTCTGTCCCACTGCTGGCCCTGGGGTCACATTCACTGCCCTGGCTGGGCAGCATCTCCCCCAGCTCCTGCCCCACTCACCTCCATCACTGTGAGGGCCTTGATCTGCACCCCCCCACGTCCCTTCTGTCCTCCACACCCCTTCACCCCACAGAATTACTAGCAGGGCACTGCTCTCCAAGCTGCCCGGCTGCCTTCCTGTAAATCAGCTATCGGATTGGTATCAGCCGATTTATGGCTGGTTAATAATCAGCTATCATTATTAGTCAAGAATACCTTTATTGGTGCACCCCTAATATTAAGCTGGTTTATCTTTTAAACCAAATCAATTGCCTAGCCAATGGCTTCTCCCTTTCTTTTTGAGCTTTTAATGCAACTTTGGTAAAAAAAAAAAAAAAAAAAAAAAAAAAAAAAAAA